GTTGAGAAATACAGATCAAAAACTCGGTAAAACTTCTTCCTCATAAAGTATGCGATAATATGGAACAGTCTTCCCTCCGAAATACACATGGCAGATGAATTACATACGTTTGCAAAACTGCTTGATCAAGCCGTCACTTGCACTGACCTAGCACGTACGAACACATCTGCGGCCCACTCTGTCCGTGTCTAGACCAAAATGGACATCAAGTTCAGTTTGCCTTATTTTTCCTATTTTGCAACTGTATTCGTTATTTTTTCCACCCTGTTTCTTCACTTGAAGTAGACAGACAACTCGCTGGACCTATCGATACTGTTTAACTGAACTCGGTCGCTAAGTGACACAAACTACCACCCTAAAAAGTCAAGAGAACCGTACAATCGACTGCCTACTACCAATGGTTTTTCATCTATGGAGCCTTTTACCCATCAACTGGTTAGGACAACACAAAATAACATAAGCACCAAGTTAGTGTGAGTTTCCTCCTGTTTATTATTTATTAACATTTTACTCTTCTGTACACTATGTTGACTAGCAATTATTATTATTTCTCCACTCGTTACCTTAACTACAACTCATATATTTCTATACTTTTCCGCCTGCTTTGGTAAACCATTATTCCATAATATACCCTTCTTATAGCCAATACCCTGATCGGCAACCTATACTTTATACTACAGTCAATTAAAGCATTGCATCGATGACTTACCCACAGTCCATAATTTATAACTACTTGATAAGCTTGTAAAATGGTACTTATAGAAATAGTGTTTTCCTACAGGATGTGAAACACAGAGGATTGTGTGAGGTATGATATATATCCAAAAAATAAGCTTAAATGAGCCTAACATCACAAAAGGAGGGAGGGTGGAGTTACTAACCAGCAAGCATTGATGATGGGGGCGATGACTTCAATCCCCCGGGTTTGTGGGGCAGAACATTTTGTATATATCAGGCTCTTTGTGATTGGGAACGAGTCAATCAATCCGTGGTATAGATTGTCTTCCTATGATCACCACTCGGATTCATGTTTCCAGTTTTATGCTGGATTAACAATTCTACTAAGACAACCTATAACATGCACACTTGGACTTTGTGTGGCTGGTGTCGGGTGGACAAAATAAGAAATAGTGGAGAACAAGCTTTGAGACACATATGGAGAAATTCAAACACTTCACTTCTATCTGAAGTTTGTGCTGATGATGTCGTTCAGAAGAACGATGAAAGCTCCACGACCAAACCATCCAGCTCAGAGAACGAAACTCCAACAAAAAAAGAAAGAAAAATGAGGCAATAAAAGATAAAGTCGTTAGAATTCTTAATACTTCACCCTCTATGTGCACACTCGCTTCTAATAAACCGCTTTCCTTGTACCAACCTTGACTTCCCTTCCCTCATGTGAGCTTACTCCAACTTGTTAAACATCACAACTCATTGTTCTTTATTAGTACATTCTCTAATATGGAGCCTCTGACTTCACTTCACTCTAACAAGACATTATATGAATTTATTCTAATTTATTATACCTCTGTCCGTTCTACTACACAATGTTAAGCAACCTTTGGTGTTCATATCCAAGTGCCTTGTTGCTCTTCTGTTTCTCTTTTTTCTCCTTCAGAATCTTGCTCTGAGAGCACAGCTATGAAACCCCTGACGTTTGGAACAAACTTAACGTACGCGTCCTCTCAAGGTCATAGTTTACAACAAGCGCTCTACGATTTCACTTTATAACAACTATAAACTTAATAAGTTGGGAAGCATTTTGCGAACCAACAAATGTTGTAGTTTATAGATCATGCCTGTAGAAATGGAGTGCACCTGCTCATGCAGAAATATATTATTATTATTATTAACACGTCAAAACGTAACGTGGTCCATCTCCGATATGATGCAGACTACGGCTACAACTTAGGGGACTCCGTTCTAGAAGTACCCAAGTTGAAAAATATTTAGGAGTGGTGGAACCCTGCTATTTTAAGTCTTACACTGTGACAAAAATGCTTTTCGAGCAAACCTTGCAATAGCAACGTTGAAGCACATTTTAGCCAGTTTGACGGCAGAACTGTAGTGGCATTGGACCATAACCACACAACCCTCAAAGCTGAACACGAGACTACTCGGAAAATAGATATTCAATATTTAACGCGGAGAAATACCTAACGATGGAAAAGACGGGAACAATGAATTGAATCAATGAGAGTTGATCGTACGGCATGGCCCGGCCATGCAGGCGTGGTCCCTGCTGAATATTACCTTATATCTCTTATTCATATTGAATATATCGTTCTGTCTCTAGCCCAAGCTTGTTCTCTATCATGTATTGGCAATTGTTACAATATAGTGAGCTGATGTACACGATGATGTGACTTCCACGTAAGATCTTATAGATTAGGCAGTTATATCATGACAAATCTACAATCATAGAACTCGGTCTATTATTAGAGCAGTACTAATATCATAGTGGACCATAATTTTGCATAACTTTCCATATAATTTCCAACGGTTTTATTTGTCCCAATTTAGAGTGCGGAAATATAGTTTTTCTCTCCTCATTCCAAAAGGATAAGGACACTCTGGAACGAATTCAACGACAAGTCACGAAATTATTTTAGGACTCAAGTTCGAACCTTATGAAGAGCGCATTCAATCAAAAAACATTTACCCATTAGAGTACAGGCGTCTTAGAGGTGACCTAATGACATACAGCATCTCAAATACTTCTGGACATCCCTCTAAACATCTACTTAAGTTTCGCGCCGACAAGAACCTAAGAGGAATCACCCTGAAGCTGGAGACAGCTCAGCAGAACGGACTGTAGACACACCTTTCCCTTAGGAGTAGTCAGATGCCGGAATTCGCTGCCGTCTAAGCTGGTCCAAGAGACTTCTCGGGGTTTTCAAACTGTAAACATTCGGAGAAAAACGATCTTCAAACCACTCTAGGCGGTAATGGAAAATTCTCCACAGGATTAAAAATGTGCCACACAAAAGCTTGCAGCCTTCTGAATAAAATGGCGAGGCCCAAGACAATCTTGGATAGAGAAAAACCGAATGATATTGCTGTCTCAGGAACATAGTTAGCGTCAGAAGTGTTCGATAATGAAATTCAGTTGACTGGTTTTTTATCCAGTAGGGCTGATACACTAAACCCCGGAGGAAGCGGGCTTGTCCTGTACACGGAAAGTACTTTAACCACACGAACAGTTGAAACAGTGGCACATGATTCAGGAACATGTGAACTGGTTGCGTTTCAAGCTGAGATGTAGGCGGCAAGATACTGAATTAGTTGTTGTATATCGCAGTTCAGAATTTGTAATAGACGACTCCTTTCTTCGCAAACTTAAGTCCTGGTGTAGTACGGACAAAAGCCTTATGGTAGGTGACGTGTATAAACTGGGTAAACTTAGAAGTGAGGCCATCGATAACGTCATTCGATTGCAATCTGTTAGAAACATCGATTGCATTACCTTTATTCAAACACATTAGAGGTTCCACAAGATATAATTTACGAAGCTCCTCTTCTCCTCTCCATTTAGTTTTCACACTTGGTGATGACATCGGCCAAATGACCTTCCTCCCACCACTAGAAAGAGGCGGTCTTGCAGTCATATCATTCAAATTAATGGCCGAACTTTCCTGTCAAACAGTTGAGCTCACACATCCTAATATGTGGAAGGCAGACATGGAGGCAATCAACTCCCGAGCATCGGCTGAGAACTAAGAAATCAAGTCAATGGCATCAGCATAAGGAGCATGGACTCATTTCATGGAAGATATACGATCAGGAAACTCAACCATGCATACCCTGGACAGCCGCAAATGGCAGAAGAAGCACGGCCATCTCTGGATAGGCCGGCATATTCGATGTTTATTAAGACAAGAGAAGAAATGTTGGAATGTTGCTATCAGTCTTGGCACAGCAGGTACCATGGAACGCTGCAGATCTGTAAGAAACACGTGTATAATTAAAATTCGGGAAGCTCAGAGAAAATATGTGATGCGATTGGCACAATCTGCACTCAAGCAGCCTGACAGAATATTCTCGTGGATAAATTACAGAACAAGGATGCATTGTTGGATCCCCAACCTAATTGAAGAAGGAAATGAATCTGAAATGGAAGAGGAAGATCAGGAAAGAGCAGAGGCCATGGCTGAATATTTTGGTTCAGTTTTCACTCAGGAACCTCCTCTAGACAAAGAACCAGACCAAACTACAGAGTCAACAAACCAGCTGCTCACCGTGGACTTCGACCAAAACGATGTGCTTAAGGCTCTTAGCACTTTAAACGTGGAAAAGTCAACAGGACCAGATGGACTACACCCCAAAATCTTGAGACATATTGCCCAATATATCGCGGCCCCACTGACCGTGATATTCAATATGTCACTTGACCAAGGTGTGTTACCTATGGACTGGAAGGACGCCATCGTCACTCCCATACATAAAACAGGTTCACGACAAGTTCCATCGAATTACAGACCCGTAAGCCTCACCAGTGTGGTAATTAAAATACTGGAAAGAATAATCAAACGGACCATAATGGCATTTATGGAAACCAATAAATTGCTAAACATGGAACAACATGGTTTAAGAAATGGTTTATCTTGTACAACAAGCCTCCTTATAGCAAGGGAATTTCGGATAAATGCGCTAGACAATGGAAACTCAGTGGATGTTGTCTACATCGATTTCAGTAAGGCTTTTGACAAGGTGCCAACTAATAGACTGCTCAGTGTTATTTATCGTGTATGTATCTGTGCCTTGATGACCGATATGCATCACAACACACTTGGAAGTATTTATCAGCAACTGCCAGGTTTGAGACCATTCAGATAATTTCTTCAGGTTATTTTGGAATTCTAAGCTACCACCTTCATAACAGACACTCATATAGTTGGAAACTACCATGTTCATTACAGCATTCACAACCTTTAAAGTTTTTTCATGGGTAACAAATAACGTGAAGTTATCTTATTTTGTATTTTAAATTTGAGTTTTGCATTCCATAGTTTGAATTTAGGAAAACTGGGTCAAAAACGCTCTCACTTTAAAATCTTGCGCTGTCTCGCCATGGCTGGCGTATTTACAATGTTGGCAGTTCGCCGACTGTTCAGTAAAAATATCGTTTTAAGACATTTGAATGCTACTAAGTCTGTCTCGTGTCCAAGTGCCAGATGTATTTCAACAGTTGAAGGCGCCCAGAAAACTTACAAACCAAATTTGGCTCTCCGTGTTTCTGATGAAAATGACTTGACTGATATAGATAGGTTTCTGCGCAAACAAAGAATTAAGGGTGCTTTGTACAGCCGCGACGAAAATGAGCAGGCTACAGAACGTTTTTGGAGTCGGATTCTAAAAGGTACAGTACTTATTATATTCATAGTAAAGCAGCTGGGGATATGGACTTGATCGAAAGATATCTAAATATGAGAGTCAAATTAGGACTTCATAATGACCCGGAGAAGGTTTTAAAAGATATGCGAGGTGCTGGATTGACGCCTAACTCCGTAGGTTCAGTTTATCACGTAATGTTGCTTAGTGGATATACGCCTCCTTTATATCTCAAAGTTGTGCTGTCGGAGATATGAATCAAACAAAGTACCCTGTCAATATATAACATTAATTTTAGCTTTTGCTTGCGTATGCTCCGAGATGCTGGATTCAAGCCCAATCGTTACATTTTTGCCCAGATTTTACACGGTTACGTGAAAGCCGGGTAAGTGTTAACTGTTCACACGGTATTTGCTCATGATAAGCCCTAAATTATATACATAGTGTTTTCTGCTCTGATTATGTTATCACCTGTCTGCTTGTTTTCGGTGTTCGCTGCACCTCCTTGAATCCAGAATCCCGAAACCTTTTATCATTACATATTTTTACATCTGATACTGTCACTGCTTTCATTACTCTGAAGTGTCTGAATAATCTAATACATCTGCGATAACATGGTGTAGCAACCCTAACTGATGTATGTGACAGGTATTACTTTGTATATAGCTGGTTATAGTTTAAGGATCTAGGTAGTAAGCCAACCTGTGATTAGAATAATCGTTTTACAACATCCAGTAATTTTATCTTATGGTAAGCAGGGTGTTGGTATGAGTGACTTAAGTAAACGCTATGGTACCCTTCCTGACCAGTAGTTTGTAGTTAGTCATTATTGACGCTTTAGGTAAAAATCTAAAAATAGAAAGAAACTTAACGTCCTGGCTAGAACAGAAGACAAGGCACAGGCCGGATACATTGGAACGATTGAGTAAAGAGGAGCATTACAACTGACAGGCGAGAATATCTAGAAGACCTAGCAACTGCTGCAGAAAACTAGAAGAGGTAATGTGAAACAACTATATGGCAACGAAAAAACTAGCAGGGGAATGTAGTAAACCAGAGTGACTAGTCAAAAATTAGGTAGGCAACTCAATCATTGAGATTCAGGAGTAGTGGAATACGTAGTTAGAGCTCCCGGACAGACCAGTTTTTTAAATTCAATCAGTCAGTAACAACGTAGAACTTCGTACGTACGTACATCAGTTCGAGTTGCCACACCACATTAGCACAGAGATGCAGTTGTCGACTCATCCCGTAGTGCTAGATGTAGTAAAATTATAAGCTGTAATCAGAAAAATTAGGGTTTGGAGATGTTATTTAAAGGGTATAATCCAGTGAAAGAAATTTGGAAAGAGGAAAAAAGGGACATGAAGAATTCAGAAGATTAGAGTTTGGGAGAACACAGAACATGGCTCAGTCCACTTGTCAGTGACTTCATGGACTTGTGCCATGTTTTGGTCTGGCCGCCCCTAGCTTTCTTCCAACCTACTCCTATACCACTGAACATCGCACGTCGAGGCAGTCGGTCGTTGGGCATACGTAACACGTGTCCAAGCCATCTCAACTGATGAAGTTTCACTACGTCATCAATTGATTCGCCATCCTTACCTAGTACCCGTTTCCTAACAACTGCATTACTTACTCGATGGTCCCAGGATATACGAGCAATATTTCGAAGACACCTATGATCAAATACTAGTAACCTACGAATATCCTCTACTCTTACCGGCCATGTTTCGCTGCCATAAAGTAGGACGAAACGAACTGCTGCGCAGTAAACACGTCCTTTGGTTGATAGACGGATATCTCGCCTACGCCATGAATGACGCAAGTTGGTAAAAGCTAGTCGAGCCTTCTGTACATATTTGGTTTTCTATGTTTATTCTACCAAAGATAAAACTATTGGCTATTGTCTTCACTCCTAACAGTATATGGCTTGTAATACAGCATATCTATAATTGTTTAGTTGCATCATCGGCTGGTCTTTCGAAGGATGTTCTACTAGTCGATCTTGCTTCCTAATTGGTACAATCCTTCGCGCCTCTAGTGACGTTTTATGTTGATCCACAAGCATATCATCTTAGTGTTAAATCGTTTACATTTTATCCACATAATTATTTCCACCTCCGTGCTACATCTTCCAACCTCAACTCACTTCAGTCTAAGATATTAGTTATAATCACTATCCAAGTATAGTCATCAAGTTATAATAACATTTACTTGTTCTAAACACTGAATAAAATTGTTTAAAATACCTTGGTTTTATTTTGAGTTAATTTGTATTCTCTAAACTTCAAAACAACCTTTCAGACTACCTGAGGAAGTTTCTTCTACGCAGGAGTTACTATCTCAAATAGGTTTGTGGCCATCAAAGTTTGCATATGAAGGCCTTTTGTCCGCTTACGCTGATATTGGTGACAAAGACAGTTTATTACGAACTCTAGATGAGGCTTACGCTGTACTCCCTTCAATAGATGACAAAACAGCATCCCGTGAAATCTCACCTATTTTACTTTTGGATCTGTACACAAGATTAGTGTGTTCGTTGGCATATACTGATGCAACGTGCAGTGAGGTATTTGGTCAATTTATTGTTATGTATATTTGAATTTGGTATTTTACTCTATTAAATTATAAATCTTTCCAAAATAAAATGTGAAGGATTTTTACAAATTGTATTAATTGTTCAACATACTACCATAGATGTCGCTTCATACGATCTACAAAATTCATTCTTATATGAACTTGAGTAACACTGTAGAAACCGGGGTTCACATTTTCTAAGCTAATAACTTTCTAAACAGTAAATTTCACCTCATGATAATAAAGTTACTTAAAAAGCCGAAACATGTAATGTCTCGTGAATTTCTGCATTGAGAATTGTGTGGGAGTAGATAGATGAATGTAGATCAGGTTCACGGTTTTGTATATATAACAATATGCATTAAATCTGCTAGATAATGTGACTCCCAGCTGTTTGCCCAGCTTCTGTCTGCGTTAATGTAGTTCTGCTCCCTCTGTCTTGATTTTGTGCAATTTATTATATCAGTCTAATCATATTTCGACCAAGCTCTATTCAATAGCCTATTCAAGATTGTATCTAACTGTTGATAAATTGTTCCACATATTTTTATTTATTAACCTACAGATTACAACAAAATTACTTACAACAGATTACTTTCCGTTGGAGTTTGCTATTGACACTGTCAAAGTACTCTTAGCGAAGGGACGCCCAGCTGCTGCTCTGGAAATTTTCAAAGTAATACATAAGTATCAAAAACAAAATGATCATCTATCTTCATTTCCGGTTTATGCTGCTGCTGGTGGTTTGGTTAGTCACTTTTTTGTTTATATATACTACACAATTCAAGCGTTCCCCCCAATTTTGTTTTTGCTACAGTTTCACTCTTTCAGCTGTTTGATTTATTCGTGAAGCTTATTGTTCTGAACATCAGCATAAACTTCAGATGGAAGTAGAAGCGACAAATTCGAATCTCTACGTATGACTGATAACTTGTCTTGTCGACTTTGATCTCTTAAATACATCCGTTACACCTGATGGAGAAAATAGGCCTTCCATGTACGACTTTGTAGTGTAGTCCGTTGTAAGAAATCCGTATGATGTCGATGATCTCCTCAGTTACTCACTCCATAGTGTCAAAGTCGATTCCATAAGGTTCTCCTACCCACGCCGTCGTTTGATTTCTCATAGCCAAGGAAAGTGATTTATAGTGAAACGTTCCATATAATTGATTGCCCAACAATGATCTATAGTTTCGCGATTTGGCGTGTGCTCGACTGGTCCTCACAGAATCCAACTTGTTGAACTCGGAGTTGAGCGTCTACTGAATTTTCCATTCGGTTCAGCAACACTGTTGAGAACTTATCCTGATACCGATAGTAGTGTGATTCCTCTGTAGTTTTCACATTAGCTGATATCTCCAGTTAGTTGGCACTTGCTCTTTCTCCCAAATGTTCCTGAATGGAGAGCAGAGCATGTTTGCAGTTACTTCTATGTGTGACTTCAGTACTTCAAGTGGCATATTTTCAGTTCGTGCTGCTTTCCCACTATTGATTTGTCTGATGACGGGCCATTCTGGTCTCTTCGTTCGTTTGTATAGTGACAACTATAGGAGGGTCTGTGTGTGATGCTTCGATGTCCGTTGAGTTAAGTGGGGCGGGTCTACTCAAGAGTTCCTCGAAGTATTCTACCCATCTGTTCTTGAATCTCTGTGATAGTCTTATCCCTTTTATCCTTGACCGGTCGCTCTGGTTTACTATATTTCCCTGTCAGTTTCTTCGTCTTGTCATCTAGTTGTTTCGTATTTCCTTCTGTTGTGACTTTTTCCCTCGTCGTTGCTAGGTCTTCCATATATCTTTGTTTGTCAGCTCCAATGTTCCTCTTCACTTACTTGTTGCTTCTGTGTATTCAGTTTGTGCCTTGACTTTCTCTGTTGTCAGTTTCCGTCTCCTTGTTCTTCCTTTCTTGAATCTTGATGAGGGTTTTGATGGAGATGTATTCCTTATGGTGATGCTTGTTGCGACCTAGCATTTCCTGAAACGTTGATGTTAACGCCTCTGTGATCCCTTTCCAATTGTCCTCCATAGTATTTTCTTCTTCTTTGAGTAAATCTTGTACGGCTTGAAACCTGTTGTTGAGAGTTATCTTGAATTGGTTGAGTTTGTCAGTATATCGAAGGAAGTCTGTATTGAACTTTTAGAGTACTATTTCTCCAGTTGTCCAGTGTTTGTCTAGCATCAGTTTTCGTCTTGGCAACCACCAGGTAGATGGTGATCTGAAGCTATGTCAGTTCCTCTCCAGGTTCTCACGTTCTCCATTGACCTTGTGAATATTTTAATGATGCAAATATGATCGAGTTGGTTTTGTGTGGTATAATCCAGTGAGACACGCAACTTTGTGTATGTGTTTGTGGAGAAATATAGTAGTACCACCTATGATCATTTTTTTGAATGCATACTAATTTGCAAATCTGTCACCATTCTCGTTCGTTTCTCCCAATCAGTCCGTGTCGTTCCACGATATCTGGATACTCGGTGTTGTCCACTCCGAATTTAACGTTTAGGTCTCCCATCATGTCCTTCCCTGCACACATGGCTACGATTGATTGTAGCCTTTTATAGAACTGATCTTTATCATCATCATTGCTATCATTGTTTGGTGCATAACATTGGATAAGATTGTGACTCCCTCCTTACCTTCATTTGAAAAATACTTTGTTTTTGCACCACACTTTTTCCATACCATCTCAATCTTATCGTAATTCTTCATGTTTTATATACATCATAAGATGACCATTTTATTGGTTTTTGTATTTGTCTTTATCATTGGTTCTGATTGATTTTTTTGGTAATGTTCCGTAGATAGCCGTTTCTTTAAGACATAATTATAAAATATTTGTCTACCCTTTTTCCGTGCTATAAATTGCTTGTACTGTGTCAACGGAGTCGATTTAGTGAGTTTCCGGGTTGTTGCTACCGTAATAAAACTAATATATGCGTAATATCGTGATAAAAAATCGGATTTTCTGGTATTTCGTGTAAGCCACTTCTTCAGAGGAATAAAGAAATTAAATCTACACAAGTTGAAATAGTGCAAAGGAGCAGAGCAAAAATGTTTAATGGCATTAATCGAAAAATCTCTGACTACAGTTAAGAATTTTTTCTGTGTGAGTTGGTTCCCAATATACCTTTGCTTTTTTTATTTTTTCTGTTGTGTTTCTTGTGTCTAACATGTCTAAAAATGACAGTTTTTGTCCGATTCTTCCATTGTAAAGTTTGTGTACTCAAAGATCTTGACGTTGTAGATATTCTCCAGCTCCTTTTTAATGTTTACGAATTTATCATCTACATAGAGCTGTAGCCACAAAGGACATTATCATTTTGTCGTCATTGATTTAAATTTCCCTAGTCTTATACTTTAATTGTGTGGAAGATGTAATGATGTAGATGGATAAGTTCACCAAAGGTTTCAGTATTTAACTTCCTCCTGATAAACTATATGTTAATGTTCCGAGGAGTGATTAGACTGGCCGTAGTGGGGCATTTGGTTTGTGTAGTTTCAGCCCACCGTAGAATAGAAAGAGAATTTATTCATTGTCTTTCATTCGTGATTTGTCTTATATCGATATTAGTCTTGCTTTGTCAAGCTTTTTTGACGCTTTGCAAGTCTTTTTCCAACCTTTCATTGGATTTGTGTCCGTTGTTTGTATATGCTTATATCCTCAAGTAGCTTATCAATTTTTCATTCATCGTTCATAATTACTGTGGCACATCTCTTACTTTCGAGTATTATGAAATTGTCTCTTTTTGAGTTTCTTCATGGTATTTCCTGTGCCCTCAGTTGAATATGGTTTTTCTGCCATTATGTTTGGTCATTAGTAATCTAGTCCAATCTATTTAGTAGATTGTGTTAAAGTGTGTTTTTTCAAGTCGATTGCATCATTGTTTTGTGTCATTTGCCGGATATTTCAATCAGAGTTGTCAAGTATTTTGGTGAGTATTCTAACATTGGTCCAAGATTTGTTTGTCCATTCACTTAAAAGAAAAATCTTCCAAGTCATTGTTTATTTTATCTCCATACCTAACATTAAATATTTATATTTGCACCTCACCTGTCTTTGTTTTACCAGGATTACAAGGCACTAGAACCTTTCTGGCATACAGCTAATGTGGATAGTAAAGAGTTGTTTATGCTTAGAAATAAATGTAAATTGTGTAAGTAATATGATTTGTAATGTTCATATTTGTATAAATATAACCGTATTGAACTTTGTCCAGTTTAATAGACAGAATCATCCGCCTAAGTGTTTGCACTCGTGGTTAATTTTTACGACTGTTTTGAATTCATATCTTTTTGTGGTAAACCTTATAGAAAATACATACCTACATTGTAAATACTTTCTGCAGTGTTATTTCAATGGGTTAAAACTGACATATCAGTTGTACATTTTGAGTAAACTAGCTGTCTGTTTGTTGCTGCTGCTGTGTGTGATATGTTTTGCACCAAGTTTAGCATATTGTTATTTTTTAAACGATTCTTGTAAATTATTGTTCCATTCATTGGTCGCTGCTACTGTTTCTGTTTGTAAATTGAAGTGGATTTTACAAAATAAGATATAACGACTGTAAAACGATGCATTAATTGTACATTACAAACTCATTCATGCCTTAGTAGATAACCAGGACATCTGAACTTTATGTTCCCAAAGTTTTTACATTTTCTGTTATTCACTATTTTAGACATCCATATATTCACGTGTCCAAATATTGTAGCTGGGTAGTTTTCAAGACCTTTATTTGCATATGTCGTAAAAAGTCTTAAGAAGAAGTAGTTATTTATTTCATAATTCTTGTTTAATTTCACTGTTTTCATTATAATTTTGAATGTGTATTATTGTCGTGAATCACAGGAGCAAACTTGTGTAATTTACTCAACATTTCACCCATAAAATTAATTCTTGGATAATATTTTAATTTTGATTCTGTATATCCATCTAAAGAAAAGTTCTCTCTTTAGATTTCCATCGGATCGGTAAAACAAACAATAAATTGGGCGATCAATTTCAAACCTGTCTTGAAGAGCACAACGTACAAGGTTGGTTATTTATCAAAAAGTGTAAAGCTATTAAAACTAACTTGCCATCAGTTTAATTCATTACAACTTATGCCTGTTACCCCTCGTGGAGGAGCATAGGCCACCCATCAATATTCTCCATCAAACTCTGTCATGGATAATCCTTTCCAGTTGCTACTCATCCTTATGATATCTACTTCCAATTCTCGACACAGCGCTCTTTGGTCTTCCTCATTTCCGTCAACCTTTAGGATTTCAAGTTAGAGCTCGCCTCGTGAAGTCCCTCCGGGGGCTACTGCCGGTCCCAAGCCCAGATAAAGGAGGAGGGTTGGGCATGGGGTTAGCGTCCCCATCCCGTAGAAAACTAACTCGCCAAAAAAACGCCAACCAAAAAAAATTATTCAAACCTTTTAAACTCTGCCCCGGGAGTCAGAAGGTCTTCATTTAGAAGAATTATGACGCCTCATGATGAAAGCCGAATTCCTTCGGAAGTTACGAGGCCGATGCCCCTTCTGACAACCAGAGAAACCATTTATTTAGGTACATGGAATGTTCGTTCAATGTGGGACACCGGGAGAGCCTTCCAAATTGCTGCAGAAATGAGGAGATACAACCTAGAGGTACTTGGGATCAGTGAAACACATTGGACGCAAGTTGGACAACAGCGACTAGCTTCAGGGGAGCTTCTGTTATACTCCGGCCATGAAGAAGAAAATGCACCACATGCACAAGGAGTTGCATTGATACTGTCCAAAAGAGCACAAAAGGCACTTATGGGATGGGAATCTCATGGACCAAGGATCATCAAAGCCTCGTTCAAAACAAAGAAAGAGGGCATTTCAATGAACATCATCCAATGCTATGCGCCTACCAACGACTACAATGAAGACGCTAAAGATCAATTCTACAATAGGCAGCAGTCAATCATCGAGAAGTGCCCAACAAAGGACCTGACCATTCTGATGGTAGATTTCAACGCCAAGGTTGGAACGGACAACACTGGATATGAAGACATCATGGGACGACGGACTGGGAGAAAGAAATGAAAATGATGAGAGATTTGCAGACCTATGTGCCTTCAATGAACTGGTCATAGGCGGCACCATATTCCCACATAAACGCATACACAAAACCACATGGACTTCACTGGATCACACCACGCAAAACCAAATCGACTATATTTGCATCAACAAAACGTTCAGGAGGACGATGGAGGACGTGAAAATCAAGAGAGGAGCTGATATAGCATCGGATCATCACTTGCTGGTCGCCAAGATGAAATTGAAACTCAAGAAGCACTGGACAATGGGGCGGACATCACAAAAGTTCAGTACGGTCTTTCTTCAGGATACTAACAAACTCAACGAATTCAAGATAGTCCTCAACAACAAGTTCCAGGCCTTTCATGATCTACTCAATGGAGAAGGAACTACTGTGGAGAGCAACTAGAAGGGGATCAAAGAGGCAATCACTTCAACATGTCATGAGGTCCTGGGTCACAAGAAGCACCATCACAAGGAATGGATCACTGTTGATACACTGGATAAGATTCAAGAAAGGAGGAACAAGAAAGCAGCAATCAATACCAGCCGAACAGGAGCAGAAAAAGCCAAGGCACAAGCTGAATACACATAAGTAAACAAACAAGTGAAAAAGAGCATCAGAACCGACAAACGTAAATACGTGGAAGATTTAGCAACGACGGCGGAAAAGGCTGTAAGAGAAGGAAACATGAGACAATTGTATGACACGACAAAGAAACTCTCTGGAAATCGCCGCAAACCAGAACGACCAGTGAAAAGTAAGGAAGGCAAGGTAATCAACAATATTGAAGAGCAACAAATGAAGGACTCCTGATCAAAATACCGAAGAAAGGCGATCACAGCAACTGTGATAACTACAGGGGAATCACTTTTCTCTCAGTACCGGGAAAAGTCTTCAACAGCGTATTGTTAAACAGGATGAAGGACTCCGTAGACACCTTACTTCGTGATCAACAAGCAGGATTCCATAAGGATAGATCGTGTACAGACCCAATCGCAACTCTACGGATCATTGTGGAACAATCAATTGAATGGAATTCATCACTCTATATCAACTTTATTGACTACGAAAAGGCATTTGATAGTGTAGACAGAACAACACTATGGAAACTTCTTCGACACTACGGCGTGCCTCAGAAGATAGTCAATATCATACAGAGTTGGTATAATGGATTAAACTGCAAAATCGTGCATGGAGGACAATTGACAAAGTCGTTCGAAGTGAAGACCGGTGTCAGGCAAGGTTGCTTACTCTCACTCTTTCTCCTGGTGATCGACTGGATCATGAAGACATCAACATCTGAAGGGAAGCACGGAATACAGTGGACATCTAGGATGCAGTTAGACGATCTAGACTTCGCAGATGATCTGGCCCTTCTATTCCAAACGCAACAACGAATGCAGGAGAAAGCGACCAGTGTAGCAGCAGTAGGTCTCAATATACACAAAGGGAAAAGCAAGGTTCTCCGATACAGCACAGCATACACCAACCCAATCACACTTGACGGAGAAGATTTGGAAGATGTAAAAACCTTTACATATTTGGGCAGCATCATTGATGAACACGGTGGATCTGATGCATATGTGAAGGCGTGGATCGGCGAAGCAAAAACAGCATATTTACAACTGAAGAACATCTGGAACTCAACACAACTGTCTGTCAACCAACACCAAGGTCAGGATTTTCAATACAAATGTCAAGAGAGTTCTACTGTATAGGGCAAAAACCTGGAGAACTACAAAAGCCATCATCCAGAAAATACAGGTGTTTATTAACAGTTGTCTACGCAAAATACTTCAGATCCGTTGGCCGGTCAGTCTGTCAGTCAGTACCAACGTAGAACTTCGTACGTACGTACATCAGTTCGAGTTGCCACACCACATTAGCACAGAGATGCAGTGGTCGATTCAAATCCCGTAGTGCTAGATGTAGTAAAATTATAAGCTGTAATCAGAAAAATTAGGGTTTGGAGATGTTATTTAAAGAGTATAATCCAGTGAAATAAGTTTGGAAAGAGAAAAAAGAAAGAGACATGAAAAAATCAGAAGATTAAAATTTGGGAGAACACAAAGAGTGGATGCACCTGCGCCATTGCAAACGATTTTGAGCCATGTCATTCAACCGTTGGCCGGACACTATTAGCAACAAGGTACTGTGGGAGAGAACAAACCAGATCCCAGAGGAGGAGGAAATTAGGAAGAAGCGCTGGAAGTGGATAGGACACACATTGTGGAAGGCACCCAACGGCATCACAAGACAAGCCCTCACATGGAATCCTCAAGACCAAAAGAAAAGAGGAAGACCAAAGAACACATTACTTTGAGAAATGGAAATAGACACGAGAAAAATAAACAAGCATCGGATGGAACTAGAAAAGAAGGCCCAGGACAGTGTGTTGGAGAATGCTGGTCGGCGGTCTATGCTCCATTGGGAGTAACAGGCGTAAGTAAGTAAGTAACTCGTGATGCAGTTTGATGGTTGCCTTAATGTATCTCGTATCCACTACCGTCTTTTCGTGATTTCCTCCTCAGCTCAAAGTCTGATTGTTCTTTCCCACAGTTAGCTGTTGTTGATGGTATCCAGCCAATGGATTTTGAGTATATCGCGTAGACAACTATTTATAAATACGTGTGCCTTTTTGATGATGGTTGTATTAGTTGTTGAAGTTTCAGATTTGTACAGTAGAACTGTTTCGACGTTCGTATTGAAGATTGTGGCTTTGATATTGTTTGACATTTGTTGTAAGTTCCAGATATTGTTCAATTGTAGGAATATTGCTCTTGGTTTACTGATCCTCACCATTACATCTGCATCAGATTCTCCCTGTTCGTCGATGATGCTGACCTTGTCATGTGCTAAAAGTTTCCACCTGCTCCAGAGTTTATCCATCAAATGTGATTTGTTTGGTTTGTGTTCTCTGCGTTGTATTTGAGGATGTTGGATTTTACCTCGTGTATGTTAGGACCTACTGATGTAGTCTTCTGCTACACAGGTTGTTTTCATCTGCATTTGTTGGTGTATATAATATAAAAGAGTTGAGTCGTCTTGGAAGTTCAAATCGTCTAGTTGCATCCAAGCTTTTCATTGTATTCCGTGCTTCCCCTCACATGTGTGGGTTTTCATAATCTAGTCAACCACCATAAGAGAGAGAGGGAAAGAGTAAGCTGCCTTATCTGACACCAGTTGTCAATTGAAATGCGTCTATAAGCTGTTATCCATGCCCGACTTTGTAGTGTAGACCGTCGTATGAATGCTGTATACTACAACTTAGCAATAACTTAAAAATAATTATTATTTTATGTTATTTTTATAATATATTTATTCTGTCTTCATACATTTAGCATCATAGTGTTGTTTTGATTTGGTCAATCCTCATTAACGTAGAGCCTGGGACAGATGTCCATTGGCTCAATTCTTCATATCATATTAGGACTTCAAGATGTAGATAACAAAAAGTATGTCAAAAGAAATCAAAATAATGTAACAATGATAGTGAGAAGGAATAAGCGTGAAGTAGTTTAAAACTACAAAGTTGAAAGTTATTTGTAAAAGAAATATCGGTATCTAAGATTGAGAGGAAGTTCCAGAGTATACAAAACTGGGCCACCATTCAACTCTGCTTAGAATGCTTTTGGCTGAATAGATTGTCGACGCAATCTGCACATGATAGACAAATCCCAAAGGAGACTAATCACTTGCGGCCTTAAAAAACAGTGAAATGATTCAAACAACCAGTACGCATGATTATCCCATACCATTTCACGGAAAGTCTCTGAACACTGGTCGTGGTTGTTGCGCACACTCCTACCAGGGAGTCTGCATCAATCAGTATAGTTAAGGACCAAACAGTCAACAAATTCGTGGACTACTGTCATGTTTTAGATATTTCATCGCTAGTCTCCCGACTTCCACTACAATGATCCACCGAAAGCTATTTCAACTCTGAGCCACGCAGAATAAGAAATTTGGTATCAGTGAAACAATCTCTAAAGCTGATGATACCCCAATTAGCAATGTTCAAATACGTCGGAAACGATTAGCCGAGTTTTCGAAAAGCAGTACAACTGTTCTGTTGCCCCATAGTCATCGATTAGTTTATTCTGCTCTCCGTGATCGCCGACGAGTGGACCACCTAACAAAAGAAAGATCCACATGGAACTCCATCTTATAAAGCGTCATAAGTTAGCGAGACCAAACAGTTCACCACTGGTTATTTTTTGGGAACGTAGCAAACCTCTGATCAGGAAAGTGATAGGTCTCTTACGAAAAGCATAAAAAATTAAGTGTCCCAACATCTTGAACTAAAGCAAAAATCCTACTTATCCTTGAAAAAGGCTTTGTCATCTAAACAATAGCTATCAGAGTCTACTGTCGATTGCATTCAAACGATTGGCTCCCGTCATACTACACACGTTGATCAAAATTCTTGAAAGTCTGATACGGGTGTGGGCAAGGTGGTTTCCGTTCTGGTCCAAGAATTAACAATTACATATTTGTACTGTGCCAAACGTACTTATTGCACATCAATAATCGTTGTGCTTCTTGATATGACGGTCACCTTTGTTTTGTTGAATGAGATTGTTCTCTCAGATTGTTTGTTTAAGAAGGGTATCTCCAAGAGTTATTAATATCTTGATGGCTCGGTATACAAACACGTCAGGGACAGAAAAGGCATACAACCACCTCTCTGCATTGTTCCATTCCAACAGCATGGTTAGGTAGGATTAGTTAATCTCGTCATTTCCCCCACAACTTTGCCATCGATGATATTCTGAAAGCGTTACTCATGGAAGTGGGTAGTGGTTGTGGTGTGGGTCATTTTACTGAGGAAGTATTTCTAAACTTGAATATACGAATGAAGTTGTTTGGCTGAGTGATAATACTCAGGATACAACAGTTTATTATTCGGTACAATGAAATGATGCAACTCAGTGACTTGAGACTTTGTCAGAAAGGGCTTAAATAGGAAGCCAATGGCGATCCCATCGCAATCTCTCTTACATTTCTCTTGACAGGAACAAAGCAAACTAAACGAAGTATTTCGGTTTGGATTTTCACCTGAATTATATCTTTAAGGACATGCTATTAAAGTAATAATCAGAATCTGTGACGGTAACTAGATTCGATCCACATGTGTCAAGTCCTACTTTACACATGACTGACTGGTGCGAACTTCCAAGATAAATTTTTAAAGGAGTAGTGTATGGCTTCTGTCCGGGAAGTTCTACTCCTTGCCTTAAGCCAATAGGGATATATTTGTATAAGAAAGTAAAAAAATGAAAAGAGGAACTTGAACCTTTATGGTGTGTATAGAAGATACATCTATGAGACATTACAAACCCTGATCACTCACTATGTTTTTCACATTACGCAAAATTTAATCCGACAAATGCTTTTTAAATCCTGCAGCTTGCGTTTGTTTCTTTTCAAAGACTACGTTTTACAGCTGTGAAGTATTACGTTGGGAGCTGATCCCGTCACGGACATCCTACTTACACTATTTATGATGTATGTTGTCTAAGGTTAAATCCTTGTCGCAATTTTGTTAGATACCAATCTACCTGGGCAACAATAAACTGACAGCTGAGAAAATCAGCTTTGAGAATTTTCTGTCTGGCTACTTTTCTGTTCTGATTATTGACAGTATGTACTCAGCGTATTTGCTTGACTTCTTATGCAAGTATTATGTTGACTTTGTGTTGATATTTATCTGTTCAACCTAATGATACATTAATTCTTTTATTTCCTATTTAAGCTTTACTCCTACATTCACTGTTATACTCGTTTATGGTGTAAAAGCTTGTTATTATGTTCACTAATTTTTCTGTAGGCGCTCTTGATTTATTGAAGAATCTAAATAAAACGAACATTACATTAGCGTATTCATTGTTTCTACCAAAATTAATCCGCTCGGGGTTTTCTTTACAGGACTTAATCAATCAAACTCAAGTATGTTTTATACGTATTATTATTTTTACTAATCTTGAATAAATCTTACGATACGGGTATTCGTCAATATTAGAACGAATAGTCTGCCGAATATAGAAAAGCCATTATACGTGTAAATTTTATTTGAAGTAATCTGAGCGACAGAAATTTAAATAATTTTGATCTTGATTACCCTGAAGAAGTTTACTCAAGTTTGCTGGACGAAACGTTGGAATCATTTAAACTTCAATCTCTGAGATTAAGTCAAATATAATTTTCACATATAATTAAATCTTAGTGTTAGTCTGTATGAGTTTAAATATAAAGTTATTTATGATACCTAAAGTTATCTGAAGATCTTTAATGCCTTATTCAAAAAGTTACAAGTCCCAGTCCTTCGGCACTTTGGTTTGAGAGACCGGGTGGGCCACGTGCTACGTATGCCTGAACACCGATTACCACGACGTGCAATGCTAACCGGTGTTAGAGATGGTTGGAAGAAAGTTAGGGGTGGCCAAACCAAAACGTGGCATCAGTGCTTGCAGTTACTATCTTCTAGTCTCAGCCATGTTGGTAGATGCAGACTACTTGGTTGGGATCCTCGTGACTATCGTAACCAATGGTTGGAGACTCTTGGTGACATGCCTCAGAATCGATCACAATGGCGTCGGTGTATACACTCTCTGTCTTCCCCTAAACTAAGAGGTTAAAATTCTTCATATCTTTCTTTCTTCCTGTACTATATTCTTATTGCAATCTTTCTTTTATATATAACCACCTCTGTATTAACTACTTTTATGAATCGGGTGTCCATCTTGTTGTGTTAATGAGGTATTGCAACTCGGACCTATGCATATATGTGCCTGGTCCTACGTTGTAGCTGACTGACTGACAGACCAAACATTGCCAAATGTGTGAGTTTGCGCCCAGTGAAGTAGCTTTATGTAATTATTAAGTCTGTTTCTGCTAGTTCAATATGTCTTGAACATCTCCAAACCCTAATCTTCCCGATTACTGCTTATACTCTTATTACCTCTACCACTACGGGATTCGAATCGACAAGTGCATCTCTGTGCTAATGTGGTGTGGCAACTCGAACTGATGTACGTACGTACGAAGTTCTACGTTGTTACTGACTGACTGACTGTATGTGAATGCCCATATCTAAATATCATAAGAGTACAGTCTCATTATGTTAGTGGATGTTCTGCTAAGATTTTCATGATATCCAGTTTTAATAGTAAATATTATCATTAATCAAAAACACCATAATTGTATTTTCAGCGATACTATACTTGAGTGAATTTTGTTTTGATTGCCTTCTTATCAAGAATGTATCCCTTAATATTCCTTCGTTATTGAATAATAATAACACAAAACGTTTATCCCGTTTCATCTAGGTCATTTCTGGTTATCGAGACTTCTTTTGTTAGCATTCGATTCTACTGCAATATTCTTACAGGAAAATGATGACATTCTTTATTTTGCTTATATATGATAAATCTATAATTTTAAAATTATTATTTTCTATGTTTTTGCATTTTAGGATCATGAGATTAATAAGGCTTTAGTGTTCGGATATGTGTTTAATAACCTAGTATCAATACAATCAACAGACGATTTAAAATCACGTTTAACTAGCTGTTTGGAATTGGTGAATGAGTATCGCGCTAAGGAATTACTACCGTACAATGATGTTGTTCGTTTGGGCAACCCCATTGTAGTTAAACTGGTAATTAGTCAATTATACATTTTGTTTATGTTGTATGAAGTAAAAAAATATCTGGACACATTACTTACTTACGCCTGTTACTCCTAATTGAGCATAGGCCGCCGACCAGCATTCTCCAACCCACTCTGTCCTAGGCCTTCCTTTCTAGTTCTATCCAATTGTTGTTCATTCTTCTCATGTCTGTCTCGGCGTAATGTGTTCTTTGGTTTTCCTCTTTTCCTTTGGCCTTGAGGTTTCCATGTGGGGGCTTGCCTTGTGACGCTAAAAAACGGGAACCGGGCACATATTACCCTATGGTAAATTGCATTTACGTTTAAGTGGAGATAAATCCATCAAGTTTTGCATTTGGAAACTGTATTTATATTTCGTCAAAGTGTTATCTGATTAACTGTAATGCATATAGCAAAAGTTATTAGTAAGACCTGTTTTTCACAAACTTCCTATCTGATCCCAATAACTAATGATAGTTCAGTTTTTATCATTGGTTTTATTCATCATCTCGGAATATTACATTGGTTTGAAGACCCCATGTGTGGACGTTATTTGCAAATACTTACATTTCCTTATTGTAAGTGCTATAAAATAGTACGACCAATAAATTTCTATTGCCATATAATTACTGAATGGCCGTTGTCCGGATACCATTAGCAACAACTTACTGTGGTAAAGAACAAACCACTTCCTACCTGGATAGGAAATCAGGAAAAGACGTTGGTATTGGATACAACATACATTAAGGTAACCATCAAACTACGCAAGATAAAATACAACATCCTCAAATACAACGCAGAGAACACAAACCAAACAAATCACATTTGATGGACAAACTCTGGAGCAGGTGGAAACTTTTAGCACATGACAAGGTCAGCATCATCGACGAACAGGGAGAATCTGATGCAGATGTAATGGTGAGGATCAGTAAACCAAGAGCAATATTCCTACAATTGAACAATATCTGGAACTTACAACAAATGTCAAACAATATCAAAGCCACAATCTTCAATACGAACGTCGAAACAGTTCTACTGTACAAATCTGAAACTTCAACAACTAATACAACCATCATCAAAAAGGCACACGTATTTATAAATAGTTGTCTACGCGATATACTCAAAATCCATTGGCTGGATACCATCAACAACAGCTAACTGTGGGAAAGAACAATCAGACTTTGAGCTGAGGAGGAAATCACGAAAAGACGGTAGTGGATACGAGATACATTAGGGTAACCATCAATCTGCATCACGAGGCGAGCTCTAACTTGAAATCCTGAAGGTTAACGGAAATGAGAAAGACCAAAGAGCGCTGTTTCGAGAATTGGAAGTAGATATCATAAGGATGAGTAGCAACTGGAAAGGATTATCCGCTCACCGTTGAAGTGGGCTTTGGCATAAATTGATGAATATTTAGTACCTCATCACTCAATTCACTGTTCTAACCTAGTATCCAGCTCTTAAACCGAGGCATAGCTCACTTCGTGGTCCCAAAATACACGAGCTGTGCTTCTGAAGTCACCTATGAGCAAACCGCTGCACAGTGAACTCACCTTTGGTTGGTTAAAGGATATCTCAACTACGCCACAAATGAAGAAAGTTGGCGAACGAGAATCGAGCCTTATGAATTCGTGTAAAAATTTCATCAGACGACAAACTCTCATGACTGCTCCCTAAATGCATTGGTACGGCCAGAATAGAGGAGAGCACGCCTATTTTTGAAATGTTCTCAAATGGCCTCCCATATGCAGCTACTGCCAGAAAGTTATCGCGGCGAAGGTGTTTACGAAATTAAAAGGATGAGAATCGGATGTCAGGCGCTGGAGATGATAGTCACCATTATAGATCTTGTGAAGAAGTTACCGTAAGCCAACACTCGACTCCTATGTATGTAGACGCTTGTTTTTCACAATTAAATGTCTGACTCGCACTACTCTATCTTTCAATAGTGCTTTCTCTTCCGTTCAGTTGGTGGTACAACTTATCTACGATAACACTCGGGTTGTAATCTGTTGAGGTATGGGTGGTGTTTACATTAAGACACGGTTTTCTCACTTTTATAGAACTTTCTAATCGAACAAAGAAAGCCAAATCTTTTTTCTGATCTTCATCTGTGTGCGAATGTTTTAGTAGTCAGTATTTTCAAACATTCGGAAACTTATATTTTCTTATCACTAATTATTTCATAATCTGTACTATTATTGGCTTTGCTGTGTTAATGAGGCATGACAGCTTAAACCGATGTACTTATGTGTCAGGTACTACATTGCTTATTCAGTGAATCAAGTTAAAATTTCGACTAGACAGGTTATTAAGGTTATATCGATGAAACAGGATCTGCCCCATAGGTACTCAGGGTCAGGAATTGGTAGAGTGTAATTGCGTTGTTAAGTTTTAATATTGATCATGCTATTATCATGCTCAGAAGAGTACTTTTCTTAATTGTTCATTACTTAGTTTCTTTTTCAATCTATGCGTTTTTCTATTATGCAACGTCTGAATTTTTTTCTGACTTTTGATGGATGTGCTTTTCTTGTTTTGTTTTCTTAAACCTCAGGTGACAAATATAATATCCATTTCAGATATGGCAGAAATTGCAAAGTTGAATAAATCAACCGTAATGCATGACGTTTTCCGCATTTTCAGCCATACACTAACAAAACGTTCGTTACGTATGCTGTACTTGCAAGTTTTCGAAGCTTTGATGTTATCCAACCTTCGTTCATTTCATGGCATCCCAAAAAATATTGTAATTCAACTTGTAGCTGATGTATGCGCTCATCAAGTAAGCGGAGAATATTTTCGTTTTGGTTTGTTGATGGTTGCACCTATACTTGATTTCTGTTTTATTGATAGTAAATGATTTAAACATTAGAAAAATACACTTGTTACTGAGTTTTATTGAACTTCGCAATTATTTAAATAAAATTATCACTTAAGGAGCTAGTGTAATGTGCATTCAGAAGTACCTATTGTTAGTTTGAGAGTATTTTGATTAACGTAGGTCATCGTAATGTCTTATTGACATTCTGCAAACGAATTCTATCACGTAGAGCTGCTCAATAAAACTTGAACATTTTAAATCAAAGTATGCTGTGTAACTGCAGACTATATGTGAATCTAGTCGCCACATTGTAACTTGGTCGATAGATTTTGATCCTTTTAATTTACCCGTCGTGGAAGAGCATAGGCTGCCAATCAAGAATTTTTGGCCAGTGTTTTTAAGTAAGATTGTTTTCTATGTGATGGTGTTTCTGACTCCATGCCCAACCTCCTCGTTTACCAGGGCTTGGGACCGGGAGTAACCCAGGAAAGGCTACAGGCATCAACCAGTGAATTAAAACATTTTACTAACTGCAACACTTCTGCATGCATATGAGACAGTGTATTGATAAAACCAATTCCTATTACAATACCCTTTATTCATAGGTTCTTGAATTCATCAGTAATGTTTACAGAGTACTCTTATCGAAAGATGTATACTTTTTACAAAAATTTAATTTCTGGTGAACACTTACTCAAACTTGGTCTCCATGTAGGACAATCTTTACGGTCAAAGTAGGTAGATCGTATACTAAAAACTCAAAATTCTACTATTAATTTATGCTATTTGTGTGCTAATTATTTTTACTGTTTACACCAAATGTGTATGGAGTACTATTACTCCTACAGTTGTTGCTGATTTACGAGTTTCTGAAAGGTACATATTTATTTGTTGCTTCCTAAATCCCCATTTTTATCCGTCGACAATATTTTTGACCCTATTTCTCAGCATAAGTTACGTCTCAAAACTGGTAATCTCTTTTTGAAGAACACTGCTTTCATGGGTAAACCATTTACTGAGCTCTCAACTACCGTACTAGTCTAAATATGTTCACTTATGCGTTAAATTTCATCTGCTAACTTTTATTCATTGATTATAAGTTCACTGGTTTATTTGAGATCTCAAACTAATATAAGTTAAACAGCCAGTTATTGGTTTGTGATTTCAACGAAATTTAACTATCTCCACAACTATCGTACTGATAGTTTTCTAGCACCTGTAGTTATTAATCTGGATATTTTATTAAAAATATTATCGAGTTCTTGACCCTAAGACATCCACCTGCGTTATTACCTAGTATTTTTTTGTATTCATTTGCCACTTTTTTTCTCTTAGAATGTCACGTTTGGTTATGGTGATTGGATATTATCAGGATTGAAAGATGCCGGTGTACCAAGGGTACGTTTCGCGCACATGAATAACAATAATTATATGCATATCCTTGTAATTTGTCACTTTTTGAAACCGTTAGTATTTGCATTAGTTATAATCAATTTTCTGTTGTTTTTATTTGTGTTAAACACTCGGATTGTTGACATGTGATCTGCGGAGTTTGAGGATGTGATCATATCCTAAAGTACATTGCATTTTTGTTTGAATATGTGTTTCATGATCGCATTTTCTTTTTTCTATTATTCAAGCACATTATGGCAAAACTTTCTTCTGATCAATCTGTGGAACTATCTTCGTAAGTTTGATAATTGTTTCTCGTTTTTTAAATCCAATCAAAGTCTGTAAAGTTAGTTAGACATCAATAATCCACACTTCTTTTTAACATCATCACTTAATTTATTTATAGGTGGAAATTATACCAGGGTACTAAACTCGAAGCATTTGGTTTTCGTAAGGGGGTTATTCTCTGAGCCCTCATGTCAGACAACGAATTCACATGTCCTCACTTTTCTTACTAATGCTTCCTTTTTCCATTATGCTCTTCACTTTCAGGTTTTCAGATCTTAGCGTTGTGCTTTTTGGTGGGCGAACGAGCAACGGTAAGCACAAAATCAATTAAAGACCATTCTTGTAAGGTGTATTGTTCGATTTATATACTTGGTTTTTTGTATGGGTTGTATTATCATTGGTTACTGATTTTGAAAGAAGATTAGAACGTTTTTGGTAATACTCATCAATGTCGAGCCGTTATACCAGTTTTGTGTGTATTAAGCGAATTTCCCTGTTTCTTTGCACCGCTGTCGCTGGAGATATGGCACTATAAACATTTTGAAAATAGTGTCTATCGCTTTTGTGATTGCCACTTCGTTTATTTTTGAAGTGCATCAGCGTGATTTATCACATCGCCATTAGCGGTAGCCTTTTCCCCATCATTATATTAGTTATTTTTATCGATTAGTCACAAAAAACAAAGCATCATTTCAAGTTTCCGTACCACATTAAGGCATAAAATAACATAACGGTAATTGTTAAAAATATTGACTTCCATAACACTATTCAGATTGTTGGAAAAACAAGAAAGGCTGAATCGGGTGGAGGTGGTTCTGTTATTGTTCTGTTTCAAGAAGCATCAACCATATCTGCACCCTTTTCCAAATGTTAAAAGATCGTCATAATTACAGCACGCTTACAGTCGTTGTGATTTTTGATATCCTGGCTATCTTCGTTACGCTAAATATGATTGTCCTTTGGGATCATCTGTGTTTTTCCTGTCATCCCAATCAAGTCGGTTGGAGAACAATAAGACTAAACTCAGCGAACTCATGGTTCATAGGGGATGTTGTATGGCTGACTTTATTGTTTGACTGCAATAAGTTGTTTGTCTCAAACAACCAACTTCTGAAGTAATGTTACCTTGTCACAAAAGAATGAATGTTTTAGAAAAGGTATATTCTAAAAACAAAACTTCACCTTACGTCATACATTTCGATCTCTGGCAGAAATATGATTTAAGCTTTATGATGAGATCTTTTTAATTGATCAGTACAAACCAATTTTAAAACTCAAGTTTCAGAAGAAGAGAGATTTTATCGGTCTACGCCTTGACGATGTATTTTAATTGTTATAAGGCCCAATAGTTTGTTCGAGGTAGAATCCAAGCGGTCTCTTACAAAACTTCGTAAACCGTTACACCCTCGCTTTTTTGTACGGTGCTTAAATATTTGAAAGATTTCCCCACTGTTATCGGATATTCATGGGACAATGTTAGATTTCATACAATTACAATCGATCATTTGTAAATCCCATCTCTTGTTTTGAAAAAGTATGATACAGGATGTCTTGAGTAAATACTTTACTGGCGTCACACCTCAGTTTAGTCACCAATACTGCTTCACACTGCAACCATAAATTGCTGTTTTTTTATTTGAACACATATGTTTTGGTACAAGGAGGCACCAGATACATATCCGCCACACAAATCTCTTTTGATTTTTATGAGGGCTGTGGTACTACTCGGGTGCTCAAACCCAAGCAGGCTGTTTTATTAGGGGGCGACACCCAGAGCCTTTGACCTAAAGGTCTGATCCACAAGGCAGTGAGGTAACATCAGGAGATACAGTTCCATGGTAACCGGTGATCAATAATTGGTTCACACGCCATTTGTTCCCTCAGGATACTGAAACCCATGTGCACCATTGGTTTTACAATCAGGGTTTTCCAACTCTCCTAGGTTGACTCCTCGTGTCCACCAATATAGTTAAAGCGCCGGACATTCGCTTTTCATCCTCTCAATTTCGTATACAACATCCCTATCACGAGAAGGCAGTAATTCGGACTTCCGTGACAGTGGTTGTATGCAAATGGTCATGTGAGAGCATTTCGTGATGGAGGGTTGACTCTCAACACTCTCGGCTGTGCCAGAGCATTCGTGAGCAAATTGCTGCTTGGACTTGTATAATTCTTTACCTACGTACTTCGTATCGTAAACCCTAAATGTGAAAGTGTTTCACCCAATATCGCTTGACTAGATCATCACAATGTGAATGCCTGAGCATTATGTCATTGTCGCAACTACAGTTATGATCGTTTTTCACCAAATATGTATGGTTTATATTGGGTTGGTAATTCCCTCATATGCATGTTTCGTTTGTTTTACTCATCTTTTGAGAATTCGACATATTGAAAATTTTTAATGATAGTCATTGACACAGCTATTATGTAAACATGTGATTCATTATGAATATTGTAGGAATATATTAATATACATTTCCTTTTTCACTTTTTCTAATATAAAGCAGTCAGAAGAAACAAAAATGAAGGTTCATTAGCTAATCAAATGGTATGTTGTGTATATTATACATATTTTTATAGAATGAAATACATAGTTACAATTTCTCATAAATAAAGCGTTTTCTGTATTTAAAACTCTTGGAACGTTGATTGTAGCACAAACTTGTGCGCTACGTTTATTGAACACTGACTATATTCTTTACGCTTTCTGATAGTGTGTATTATTGTGTATGTGTTTCAGTCTTGTTTATTTTACACGTTGTTCATAATTACTTTAATGTTTTTACAGAAGTTGCCTTCTGAAGAATCAGCACCAATTGCCGCCGAATCACTTGTTAAGTAAGAATATTATGCGATTATTAATTTGTTATTGTTTGATTTTTCTAACTAATTGGTTTCTTTTACTTCTGGGTTGACATCTAATATAATGCTTTCAATTGAATGTAATGTTAGTCAACCATTTGTAGTCAGCGTAGTGCTTGAACTGAATTATGATCTAGTCAGTATGTATATGTTGTCACATGATAAGATTACTGTTTTTCTCGTCAATATTACCTTTTATTTCCCTACTAAAACTTGCTTGATTTCATTATCCCTTATTATAGAGCACTAAAAGATGATCCTAAAAAATTGGAAACGGAATTAAAATCTATTGAAGCTTTATGGAGTTTACAAAGTATGTTTGTCATTTGTTTTTAGATATGTATATATTTCGTAAATTTTTATTTTATTGTTCTATAATATAATAATCATTGCTAATTTTGTTGCTTTCAAGAGAAATTCATTTTATTGAGCTATCTCGTAAATCTTGGATCAAAAGATCTCGTTGAACGTGTGTTACAATTTTTGCCTGAAGAACAAAGAAAACAACGTGAACCAATGAAATCACTTGCACATATAATAAAGTGAGTATATTTTATTGAAAGAAAAGAAAATAGTTAGAAATTTCCTCTTACATTGTAATGTAATTGAAAATTCCCTCCACTTTACTTGTTCAACAAGTATACGATTTTATAAAGACAAAAAATTCTTTAATTTCATAATGTGGTTTGTTTTCATTACAGAATAATATGTTATCAAATATTATTCGTATAAATACTTTTAAAGTCGTCAACTTCTTGATCAGTCAGTAACAACGTAAAACTTCGTACGTACGTGCGTACATCACTTCGACTTGCCACACCACAGAAACAATTCTCGACTCAAATCCTGTAATAGTAAAGGTAGTAAGAGTATAAGCAGTAATCGAAGAGATTAGGGTTTGTAGATGTTATTCAACGAGTATAATCCAGTGATATAAATTAGAAAAGAGAAAAAAAGTTCATGAATAATTCAGAAGAATTTTGGACAACACAAAGAATGGATGCACCTGCGCCATTGCAAATGATTTTCAGCCGTGTCATTCAAGATCTTTAACCATCAGTTGCTATCGTCTTTCGGATCCCCCAAATACCCTGGTACGGCCGAGAGTGTTGAAAGTCAGCCCTCCCTCTCGAAATGCTCTCACATGACCACGTACATACAACCATCGCCACGGATGTCATTTTCGATTCAATAAAATTAATGCCTAACTATTACATCATCATATAAGCGTAATTCAATAAATGCGTAAAATTTAACTATATCCTTATATTAGAATTTTTAACTTGTGTTCAGTCGGCATAGACGCTGGATTGTCCTTATTCGTTTAAGATGTCTTTGTTTCTTTTATTGATTTAATAAATATTGTTATTTATCATGTACAGGTCATCCTTAGAAAATGATACGGAAAAAGAATCATCTTCAGAAAGTGTGAAACAGTCGATTCAAAATTTACAAAATCTTTCACCTAAGGATTTATACTCTACAATGAGGGGTCCACACTTAGATACACTTTTCAGATGTTGGCCAACTGAACATATTTCAGACTGTATGTTATATATTAATTAATTTTTTTAACTTGTAAATTCAATTAGTCACAATAATTTATGGTCAGTTATAAAATTTATACTCATTGTTATAATGTTCTATTCTCCCCAAATGCCCTGGTACGGCCGAGAGTGAGGAGAGTCCTGTCTCCCTCTCGAAATGCTCTCACATGGCCATGCGTATATAGCCTCTGTCAGGGAAGTTCTACTCATTGCCTTCTCGTGGCGCGGGTGTCGTTTACGAAAATGAGAAGACGAAAAGCGAATGTCCGGCGCTTTGACCGGAATCCAAACCATTAGTGCACATGGCATCCAGTATCCTGCGCGAACAAATGGTCACAGTGATGTTGGCTGACAGTTCTTTTGAGTTTCATGTGTTGTCAAACTGTAGGAATGCGGTCCCTGCTTTGCCAATTCGTACTCAAATATTTACATTAGATCCTCCTTGTTTAACAATGATGCTGACCAGGTACGTGAAAGTCACCACCTCTTCCAGTGCTTCTCCATCAAGTATGATTGGATTCGTCGGTGTTCTCCGTGTTGTGTCTGAGGATCTTACGTTTCCCCCTGTGTATGTTCAGGCCTACTGATGCAGAGGTTGCTGCAGCTACACCGATTGTCTTCACCTGCATTTGGTCATATGCATGCTAAATATGTATTTAGTAAGGTGAACAAATTATTTGTATTACTTTTAGAAAGAGATGAGTGAGTAGTAAATAAAAAATTTGTGAAAATTATCATAAGAATAAAATAACGTGAATGTGGATCATATTTGTATACATATGAGCGAAAAAATATCTACTATAAATAGGCTTGTAAACTGTGGTTATGGTTAAGAGGGGAATCTAATATTTTTTTACATGCCATAAGGCTTTCTATCCATAGCTATTCATAACTTCTTCAATATAAGGTTAGTTTAGCCGTGTATCTGTAGGATCTTTATCTGATATCGGGGAATAAATCTGAAGCTTAAAAGCATGTATTTACTACACATTTCGGAATTGATGGTGTTGTTGACCTTTGTCGTCCTTCGCTAAAGCTCATTGGTAAGTCTATCACTCCGACCAACAACGTACATGCCAGTATCATTTATTTTACATTCATATTTGTCATTATCTTTGGAAAAGTCATGTTTTTTTTAATTTGCCAGAACTAGTTATATTTATTGCTCTTTTAAAAAATATTCATATCGTATTTCCTTTTAATTTTTTATCAGTGATTGATATCACAAAAAAGCTTTCCAAACTTGGTCTCAATTCTGTCAATTTACAGTTGGCTGGAGTTTTGGTTAATCGTGGGCTGAGTGACTTAGTTTCTACTTTGTTGGAGGTAATCATCGTTATACTTTTTATGACGAAAGATAAGTAGGGAGTGGGTTCACTTTGTTTTGTAGGCAGTTAGTGATTGGCAACAAAGTTACATTAATGTTGGAATCTATATATAGCCAAATATAGCTAAGCGAAATCCAATCAGTTTTAAATTTTGCTCACTAAAACACTTATACACTACTAGCAGGTTCTTTGAGTAAACACGTTTGTTAATACCTCAAAATGGTATGTCTACGTAGTTTGCGAATGTGAGTTACTATACAAAATATTTTGTCATGAATGGCCATTAGTACGTCGATAGTTAATCAATGTGATATATTTTGTTCTAGTTACTTGAAGACATTATTGTGTTAAATAATCTTTCCATCACTTGATGATAGCTCAGTTAGAGTTTATCCACCTGAGAATTTTCTTATTCGACACCATTCTTTAATTAGATATTATACTAGCAATCCTCTCCTTAGTTATTGTACTACATAACAGAAAGAAGATATAATGAGATTATCACCCCTCTAGACTTGTTAAGAATTATGCGTTGCATGTCAAATTCAACTCCATGTATTATCTCATTTATTTCTTAGTACTACAAACGTTTGCGGAATACATATCAATTGTTATGATATATGTATATAGGAGTTATGTTACTGACCTATCATCCTAACAAAAAACTACGGGAGCAATAAGAAACCGAATGATTATACTTTCGAATATTGTAATGGTTTCCTATTCCAACAGTACCAATAAGTTTTTTTTGCCTTAACACAATGTGCTAGACACCTTGTACACTAAATTCGTGTGGTGTCATGATCATTTTAACAATGAATATTAATTTGTCTTCAATGTTACTTCTGATTTAGAATAACAAAACAGTTCCGTTTACTTTCTTGGTTGGCAATCCACGAAATTCATTGACGAAATCTGAATTTCTGTCTTCGGTGGAGTATCTAAAATCTGTTGATTCTCAACATATTCCTGGTTTTGTAGATCATTGTCTCCGCAATGCAGGTACTATTTCTAAATATGTTTGTTGTGGTTTGTCTCTGAGTTCACGGTAAACTCAATCCCTTTTTTGTCGTTGTTACGTTACATTGTACATATTTTTTGACAAATTCAGTAAAATCGTAATTAACATAGATTGAACATATTCATGAGTTTCTACAAGTGATTGATTTCAGAAAATTACTTCTCCAACTTTCATCATTACATCTTGGTCGAACGGTAGGACTAAAATATATGCTGCTCGTTACGGTGTATATAATACAACCAACCATCGAAATTTTATTATCACTAAACTGAATAGTCGATCAACAGCCTATTAAGTAGATTGAGATCATCATATATAGATATCCGTCTGTCGCATCATCAGTGACCACCCTACTTTAATTCACCACACATCACATTTATGTCTACAATTAGTATCCGCTAATTCTATGCAGTTGTGTGGAATGATCCCAGAAGTCGGTATATAGCCGATAGCACTTGACCAATAGTAATAATATTCAAGGGATTATTACGATCTCATTTTCCATCCGTCATCCGAAGATAGATTCTTTTAACTAAATACATTAATTTCGGTGTCATCAGTTCAATTTAAGTCGACATCTTACATCGTAATTCAATAGACGATTTCATGCCGTTTAAAATAGTATATTATTTGTACCCTTGATATAGTCCTGATGTTTTTTATGTAATTTCAGCTTTGTCGACAAACGATGACAACTTATACCAGTTAATTCGTGCAGTAGTATCACCACCGTTCAATATGGATCTTCTTCAAGTTTGTATACAACCCACTCTCCAAGTTTTACATCATCGTTTGGAAGTGAGCGAAAATGTAAGTTTTGGTTTTATGCTTCATTTGTCTGAGTTAAAAAAAACTTAGTTTGGAAGTAGCACTCATTTTTGTAATATGATCTTCCATCACGATTTATTGATTGCTGTAGATCCAGTGGTTCAGAGGTATTTTTGTTTGGTAACTGGTTAGACAAACCTTTCCAATGATTTATCTGACACCTTGACTTATTTCATTCGTTAAATACAAAAGTACTCTAAATGAACTATTTTTCGTTCAGCTGCAGTGATTTCGGTCATTAATTTGTGAAAACAGATTGTGGCACTCCAAAATAAATCGGTCTAAGTAAATGTCGCAGCATTTTTACTCAAACTCTAAGAAGTTGTTATTCCTTTTTAATCGCTTAGCAGTAGTTTCTGGCTGAAATTACGGGTTTTAATCTTGAGTATCAGGTCTTACTTTGTACAACTGTTGACTGTCTCTGCTTTCTATGGTTAATCTAAAAAAATTGATTTCTGTCTTTTTTCGTTGTAGTTACCAGAAGATATACTTCAAGCTACTCAACCAGTTGTTAAAAAAATTAGTGCATTAAAAGCAAAAGCTTCCAATTAAATTAGAAAGCTCTTGCCCCTCATTTCTTTCTTCAAACTGCAAAATTATAGGTTTCTTTATGAAGGATTTTAATTGTCTTTAGTCATCATCGTGTACAATAAATTATTCGAATCAGCTTCTTCACCTTTTGGTTTGCGCTTGAGTTATTGATTAGCAGGTACTAACTAGAGCTAAAAAGGGTTATAACAACAGTACCTGCAGAGTTAGTAACTTATTAGTGAGATAATTACCGAAGAAGATACCCTCTCATACTAATATTACATTTTGAAAATGGATGTGTTTTTAGCGAAAATGTCAAATGTCACTGAGTTCACGTCTGGTTTTAAACGATACAAAGAATTGCCATGCTTTACCATGGGTACATTTATAGACCTGACCATCCCTTCTCGGAAGTGGGTGTATTATCCAGTGCAAAGTTTGAATAGGTTTATCCAAACCTCATCTCAATGGACAGTCATTTGTTGGCAGTCCCGTCGAATGGCGGTGTGAAGTCATAAAAGGTTAGGAATATACCGTTTTCTATTCTTTGTCTTACTGCTTCTGTTGACTGCCAGGGAAGTCCTACTCACTCCCCTCTCATGATAGGACTGTTGTTTACAAAATTGGGAGGGCCAAAAACGAGTGTCCGGCGATTTACCTTGGTTGGCGGGTATGTAGGAGTTGGAAAACATTCCAAACAAATCCTGCACATTGACTTCAGGATTTTAAGGGAGCAAGTGGTGTATTAACCTATTTTTGGTCGCCGGCTACCACGGAATTGCATTTCCTAACGTTGATGCACTGCCTTGGGACTAGAAGGTTAGGCCAAAGGCTTCGGGTTGGCCCCCTAAGGAAACTACCTGCTTCTATTTGAACACCCGAGCGATATCCTAGCTCTCACACAAATCGAATTATTTATGTAACACATACCTCTTTGGTGTCTCCTCGTACCGAGCTTTATGTGCTTAAATAAATAATTGACTCAAGTTCGGATAAAAACGGTATGGCTTGTACTAAGCTAATGCAAAGTTTCTTCCTAGTGTTCAAATTAAAGGGTAGACCTCAGGAATCACTTAAGAAGCGGTTAATTAATCGTCATATTCACGTAATTGTCCAAGTGGTATTGTCATTTACGAGTGCTGTAATCAAAATATTAAGAACTAATAGTCGGAAACTTGCTCTTAACCCTTGAAAGTGCTGTAGGTTAAGTGCACTGGATTGCATAGGGTTTGTCATAGCTGAGACATGAACCCAAAATACTCTGTTTTCAAGATCATACCTCATATATTGGATCTTGGAATCGCTAATTTCTAACACTGCTGGACGATCGTCGTGAACACTTCTGTAAGTGTTTCCTTGAATAACTTTGATTTTACCAACATTCTTCGTTCATCACTCCTTCAGTAAATTCCCAGAAATAAGAATAATTTTAAATCTGCTCTGGGAACTCAAAGGTGTTTAATTAGAAGAATTGTGATGCCTCATGTTGAAAGCCGAGGTTCTTCAAAAGTCAATACATATGTCCCTGAACCGAATGTAAGATTCAGTGGACACCCAACTTCGAAAGCAACAGTCTGGATTCCATAACGATAGGTCTTCAATCGACTAAATCTTCACATTACGAATCGTTGCTGAGCAGTCAATTAAATGGAACTCGTTACTATATATCCACTTTCTTGACTATGATGAAGCTTTTGGCCCTGTGGATAAGAGAACCTTATAGAGGCGTCTTGGACACTATAGAGTAGTTGAGAAAATCGTCAACACGATCCAGAATTCATACGACGGACTACACTGCGACGTCGGATATGGGGGACAGCTGACAGACGCATTCGAATCGCGAACCAGAGTGAAATATGGGTGTCTGCCCTTCCTTTTTCCTTTATTGATTGTCTGGATTATGAAGACATTTACATGTGTGGGGGGAGTTTGGAACACAATGGACAACTTGGATGCAACTGGACGATTTGGAACTCACAGATGACCTAGCCGTTCTATTCCATGCATATGACCAAATGCAGGTGAAGACAATCGGTGTAGCTGCAGCAACCTCTGCATCAGTAGGCCTGAACATACACAGGGGGAAACGTAAGATCCTCAGACACAACACGGAGAACACCGACGAATCCAATCATACTTGATGGAGAAGCACTGGAAGAGGTGGTGACTTTCACGTACCTGGTCAGCATCATTGTTAAACAAGGAGAATCTAATGTAAATATTTGAGTACGAATTGGCAAAGCAGGGACCGCATTCCTACAGTTTGACAACACATGAAACTCAAAACAACTGTCAGTTAACATCACTGTCATTATTTTCGATGCAAACATCAAGATAGTTCTGCTATACGGAACGGAAACGTGGAGTACTACCACAATCATAATCAATGCTGTACAAATATTTATAAATAAATTTCTACGAAAGGTACTCAATATCCATTGACCGGATACTATTAACAATCGTCTACGAAGGATACTCAATTTCTGTTCGCCGGATGACATCAAATAGATGTACACATGTGTGTTAGAGACTTTTGGCGAGTCAATAGCCACTTCTTACCTTTTTACAATTTCAATTTTTGACAGGGAGATATAGGTTTTGCCCACGTTCATTTATGTTAAATAGGTCCTTTATAGAGTTCTGCTGGTTTTAATTGCATATGTACATGTGCAGGACCCTAACCAAATCATCCGGCAGACGGCTCACTGGACGTCGAACTGTTCACTGACTTATCAAAATCAACGAAAACCAACACAGCAATTAATTGCACCCCAAGAACTGGTCCATACTGTGATGGTCGCATCTTCTTCGTAATTAATTTAAGTGATACATTTCTCTAATAACTCTTTTTGTGTTTTACGGTCCTTAACGCAGCCATAGTGCCTTGCTAGGACGAAAGGTTAATTCATATTAGGTGCTTACTGCGAGGCGTGACTTCGGAGTTATCTGGTTCGTCACAACATTCCCATCTATTTTACGTAGGCGCCCAATTATCCGAATCATATCGTTTATGTTGGTGATCTACACATGCCTGAGCAGATTCACGAGTTTTCGAAAAGCCGTACCTATAATAGGTTTCACAGCTGAAACGGTTGCCTAAGCTGTCATTCAGAACAGGGTAACCGTTTTTGGTACACCTGTTACAATAAAGACTGATATTAGAGCACAGTTTGAATCTAAACTATTCAACAACTTGTCTGAGTTCCTAGGCTCTAACTGAATACGTTGCACTGCATACCATCCTCAGGCTAATGAGATGATGGGACGTTTCTGCCGTCAGTTAAAGGCTGCCCTAATACCACATTCAAACCCCGATCCGTAGACAGAGTTCCTGCCATTAGTTATGTTGGGAATAAGAACGGCTATCAAAACTAACTCAGTATTCGGCAGCAGAACTAGCCTTCCGGAAGAATCTAATGTTGCCGGATGAGTTCCTCAATCCTCGTACTGATAGTAAAAACGCATAATTTAAAAATTTTCGTAGACTAACTACGGGACCAAATGTCCAAGCTTAAACCAATTACTACTCGTGGACAATTGCGAGCGACAAATGTAACTAAGGACCTAGGCAATTGTACGCATGTGTGGATAAGGTGTAACAAAGTAACCGCACCATTTATTCATCCGTTTGAAGCCCTTGCAAAGTTATTTCAAGAGAACTCAAATATTTCTTTGTACAAAAAAAAAACAGGAAAAACCGACTCAGTAAGTATTGATGGGCTAAAACCGACTTATCTAGATAAAGAACCATCACACGTGATATTAGGCTGTTTATCTGACAAAACAATAGCAGAATTGAGAAGTACCAATGAGAATTCTGCATAGGTGAATAAAAAGGTTTAGATGGGCACTAAGGGATATCCACGGATTTTGTTTTAGCTTGAAATGAAACCACATATCTACTAGAATTTCAGTTTATTAAATTTTGTGTTCATTCAAACATTAAGAAAATAAAATAATTTTCATACCGTTTTTTTAGCTATTACCGAAATGGTCGTAGTCTCAATCAACATACTACCCGCTTTTCTTCAGATCTTTTACTTTTAATGTATGAGTGTTGTATTCATACTGAGTACATAAACCACCCACGGACCTCTCAATCAATGTTGGCCCACCAACTATTGAATAAATCAACATGGCCATCAGACAAATCAAGAGTGGCAAAGCAGCGGGACCAGACAACATCCCAGCAGAGGCACTAAAAGCAGACGTAGCGGCAACTGCAAGAATACTCCACATTCTCTGACGCAGATATGAAGTCGCGGATCGGGAAAGCAAGAGCAGCATATTTACAACTGAAGAACATCTGGAACTCAACACAACTGTCTGTCAACCAACACCAAGGTCAGGATTTTCAATACAAATGTCAAGAGAGTTCTACTGTATGAGGCAGAAAACTGGAGAACTACGAAAGCCATCATCCAGAAAATACAAGTGTTTATTAACAGTTGTCTACGCAAAATACTTCAGATCCGTTGGCCGGTCAGTCTGTCAGTCAGTACCAACGTAGAACTTCGTACGTACGTACATCAGATCGAGTTGCCACACCACATTAGCACAGAGATGCAGTTGTCGATTCAAATCCCGCATTGCTAGATGTAGTAAGATTATAAGCTGTAATCAGAAAAATTAGGGTTTGAAGATGTTATTCAAGGAATATAATCCAGTGAAATAAGTTTGGAAAGAGAAAAAAGAAAGGGACATGAAAAAATCAGAAGATTAAAATTTGGGAGAACACAAAGAGTGGATGCACCTGCGCCATTGCAAACGATTTTGAGCCACGTCATTCAACCGTTGGCCGGACACTATTAGCAACAAGGTACTGTGGGAGAGAACAAACCAGATCACAGAGGAGGAAATTAGGAAGAAGCGTTGGAAATGGATAGGACACAGATTGAGGAAAGCACCCGACTGCGTCACAAGACAAGCCCTCACGTGGAATCTTGCGTTTAGTGATCATTCAGGCATTCCTGAAACCTTACCCTTCCTCCAGAACGCGTTGTTCCGGGTCGGTTGTCAAATACCACCGCAGTGTCGTAGTGAATGTTGATTGTCAAGTGATGTATTGTGATTGTGATACTCGTGTCGTTCGATTGTACCGAAGGAAAATCGACGTAACTAGGGTTTCCTTCTAAATG